TATCCCTATAATCTGTTTGTTGAGTGTTATAATTCAAGTGATTTTTATAATTATTAATATAACAATGCTTTCAAGCCAACAAAGACGAAATAGTTGGAATCGTTTTGTTTTATTTAGTTCTCAAGAAATTTTAATAACTTTTAAGTATATCAAAGACTTTAGATGTTCAATAATACTTTTTTAATAAATTGTGATATCTTCAAGTGATATTATATTACACATGTTTATATATTTGTTTTTGCTGCTGTTTTGATTACTGTGGATTAATTACAATTTTAAAATATGTCAGATCTATCAACAAATGGTAGGTCCATATTGAATAATATAGATTGTCAGAATCATACCAATTCACGCCCAAAACTTCAACCAGTACGGGTGAAAGAGTTGTTGCATTTATGTGAAAGTGATGATGACGAAAGTGAAGATAAACCACAAGATTCTGATATTGAATCAGATTCTGATGACCCTCAGTCTTTATCACAAGATGATTGTATTGAAGATGTTTTTAATAAATCATCATCCATGCATAACATAACATATGATAATGAGATAAAAACAGCTTGTGAAATTTCACATACAATTGTTTCTTCAGAAGCTGAAAAATCTGTATCAGTCAATAATATTACAGAATGTACATCAGAAAATAAATCTGTATTTCATGAACATGATTATAATGAGAAAAGTGAAAAAAATATAGAGTGTGAACAATCAAATCAGATGCAATTAAGTATTGAAATTCATACAGAAGAAAAGATTGCTCAAACTGAACACAAAAATAAACATGTTACTAATATGGATATTAAAAAATCATTAAATCAGGAGCAACCACATAAAAGTGAACTTCAATCTTTTGACCAACAATGTTCTTCTAAAATAAACAATAATAGTGATTCCAATGCTTTTGTATTTCAACATTCTGGATATGTATTACAATCTGGAGTACATAACATACAAAATGCAAATATCAACAGAGGAACATTAGCATTAAAGTCAATACCAAATGAAGAAGAAACCCATCATGAAAGTGTATCTTCTGCTTATAAAGCATTAACATCAGATATAGGATTATCTGTAAATTCTACTGATCAGTGGGTTTTACAAACACCTTTAAAACATGCACCAGTTAATTCTACACATCCAGATCCATGTTTCTCTCGAAGAAATATTATTCATACACCACAAAACAAATTATCTGATATACCTAATAATCATGGGCTAACTCCAGCTACAACTTCATCTCATTGGTTTCAGAATAGTGTAAAGCAAACCCCATTGCAAAATAGAAGTAATAATTTGAAAAATTCTGTACAAACTCCAGACAACACTGTTTATTTTACACTAAGTAATGGAAAACATGAAACACCAAAGTACATATAATATATATTGCTTATACATTTAGTACTAATTTCTTTTATTTAAGTATATATATTTAATTACAGGTATTTAAATACAAATGGTATGGTAAGAAGACCTTTAGTAGATACAGCAGGTTTCACACAGAAGGATGCTTCAGGAAAACGTTTGCTTCAAGGGTTTCAGCTTTCCAAAGTAAACGAAATAACACCTACTGCTCAGGCTAAACTAACCAGTAAAAATTTAGACAACAAAATAAGTTTATCACGACAAGTATTTCAAACCTCAGAAAATGTTGTGCATTTGGAATCAGATGTTAATGAAGAATTGAAAGAAAATAGATACTCAAATATAGACAATGCATTGGTGAATAAAGAAATAAATAAAGCATCAAATAGTAAATATGTTTCTCATTATCCTAAAGATAGCAAAGAAATCTTAAAAGCAGTGTGCAATCATTCTCAAAAACAACATTCAGAGGCTAATAACAAAAATCAGCAACAAGAGTTAAAAGAAACAGTAGATAATGCATCAAATGTACAATTTTCAATGCCATATAACATTTCTAAATCAAGGCAAAGCAAAACTATTTTTGTAAAAGGAAAAGAGTATTTGGTCTTAGGTACACTTGGTCATGGTATGAGTGGAGAAGTTTTAAGAGTGCAAAACTTATCCTCTCTTGAATTATGTGCTATTAAGTGTGTTAATCTTAAGAGTATGGACAAGGAATCAGCACAAGGTTGTTTAGAAGAAATTTCAATGTTACATAAATTACAAGCACCATGTGTTGTTAAAATGTTTGACTAGTAAGTAGTTTATGAAAATATATGTCTATATTATATATATACATGCACTGACATTTACATTCAAGTATTTTGTTTTAGTGAAATTAAATATCCAATGGTTTATGTAGTAATGGAAATGGGAGATACCGATCTCAGCCGTCTTTTGAAAACGATGTCACAGGAAAAGCAAATTCCTCTTACAATGATTTTATATTATTGGACCGAAATGTTAACAGCTGTTAAGCATATACACGATAACGGTAAATATTTTAATGTAAGAAAATCATATGTTGATTATGTCAAACATTTCTGCACAACTGATTGTGCTTTACATGTATAAATTTTCAGGAGTAATTCATTCAGACTTAAAACCAGCAAATTTTTTATTAGTCCGAGGAAGATTAAAACTTATAGATTTTGGAATTGCTTCTAGTATGAATGCTGATATGACGTCTGTGATAAAAAACTGTCCAATTGGAACTTTAAATTATATTAGTCCAGAAGCTTTAATGGATATTGGTGAAAATTCGGATTCTTCTTCAGAGAATGTCAAATATAAGGTATAAGAATAGGTTTTGCATTTATAGTAAAAATTAAAATTGAAGACATGATAATATAAATATATTTATTTTGTAGATAAATTTTAAGTCAGATGTATGGTCTTTAGGATGTATTTTGTATAGTTTAGTGTATGGCCATACACCGTTTCATCATATTCGTTCGCAATGGGCGAAAGTGAACGCAATAACTAATCCAAAACTAAATATTCCTTTCCCTAAAACTTTGTCGTCAGAGGGTAATAAAATTATACCGTCGCCACCAATTTTAATTGATGTAATGCGTAAATGTCTTCAGCATGACCCAAAAGCACGGCCAACCGTGACTGAGCTTTTACAAATAGAGTATATACCTACTAAAGAAGAACATGTATTAACAACACTTCCTGAGATTCCAGCAAATATTTTGGTGAAAATGAAGCACACGTTGAGTGAAGACGAATGGCGGCAATTAACATGGGTTTGTAAACTATAACTCAGTACATTCCATACCATTTTTATATATTACAGTGTATTATAAAAAAAAATATTTTTTTATATAAATTTTGTTTACGACGTATGACGTATTAGAAGTGAAATTATTTAAAAAATAATAACTAACGTTATTTTTATGTTACAGATTTTGGAGAACAGACGGTATACATGAAACTATTCGGATTAAGTACTTCTAATTATGTACATAGCTTTTTTATACATAACAATTGGCAATAATACATGAGGCGCTTATTTAAATGTATCATAGCAAAGTATGAGATTATTCCAATACTGGTTTAAAATATAAGATTGTACCATGATACGATTTTATTATGAGGTCCACTTATGTTTACCTATACGATACACATTAAGTAGACATTGCAACATAAATGAAATACGAGTTATCTATTAAATTAAAATATCTTTCATTTTATTATCACACATTCATGCATACAAATGACTTCATTTAACAGAATTGGTAGCATTCATGAGTACCTATTGTGCTAAATAGCTGCATGGTCGGAAATCTAAAAATACATATCTACATGTTGCTTGTGAAATAATGTACTCCGAATCAATTCCGTTGCAATTATTTTTAGACTTTAAATAATACAAAAGTATGCAATATTTTCATACTACCTGATTTCAACGTACAAAAAAAACGCAAAAATTTCAGGACCATTTTCTTTGCGTTTTCATTGAAAGAACAGTTCCCTTTTTAATAAGGATGCATATTGCACAATATGCATATATAATGCATAGTCTCAATATTGCCAGTCAGTGCATTGTTGTTAATTGCCAATATTGTAGTAATCTTTCACCTTTTGGTAATGCCATTGAATTCGGTCTTTCAAACGTTAACATAATATCTTTAACCTTATTCTTTAATTCACTATCAAATAAATGTCCTCCGGTACGTTCTAAAGCTGATGCCATATCGTACTCTACAGAGGGAAGAGGTTCGCGAATGAAACGCGCAGCGCTAGCAATACTCGGCACTATGTGCCATTGTAAAGCTTTAATTTCCCAGAGACTGCTAAGGAGAGCATTACTTAATAAGGGATCTCTTTCTTCCATTAAAAACGGATCTCCAGCACCGTTATTATCTTCCGATGAAACTTCCCCTCCTTGTGGATGATCAATGAGACGTTTCAAGCCAGGGTGCCTGAGTAAGAGGTTTCCAACGAAAAGTAAAATAATAAGAATATCCTCGGGTGGTGCGACAAGAGTTAAACGCGCAAGTCTTTTTGCAAAAGCGGCGACTAATGCTTCCGGTAAGTGCCTAAAAACAATTTAGAGTACACGGTAATTTTTATATACTTTATCAGAATAAGATATTTCAAAATATTTTAACCACTTACGTTGAACTAAGGAAAAGGTCAGATAAGTAGAATAAACGTGCTTTGTACTTTGTGTGAAATATTTCTGGTTCAAACATAGAATAAAGTTTTGTAAAGATATTGGGATATTCTAAGTTATGTTTGGTAACTAGTAAAAATACACCCTGCAATGCAAGTAAGCCAATGGGCCCATCTGCATCCAAGGAATCCATAAGGAAATCTGTTAGTAAAACAGGTTTTTCTAAATGTGGCATAACTCTTTCTAAAAGAACTATTAATAATTGTTTATGTAATTGTGGTGTCAATTCCCAATGCATGACACAAGCCCAGACTTTATTTAGTGCACGTCTTGCTCCAGCTTGATCCCATATAAAGCTCTTAGCAGCTGATAAAATAAAATGTGGAATGTATAAAAAATTATAATTAGTTTAGGCAGAAAAAGAAAGGACAATGTAGCTTGATTACCTTGTTGTGGTTTACACAATAAATTCTTATTTTCAGACATCTCATTCTCTGGAACACAATTAAAATTCAATATTAGGTAGGTGCTAACTCTAAAAGAAATTATAACATTATGATATTTAATTTAATTAACATGTACCTTCAGTTTCCTTCGGCAGTGATAGTTTATGTATAAGCTCAAGTAAATTTTTAATATAAACTTCATGTGGTTGTCTTTTTGGAGTAAGAGAGGGAAGACATTTCCATGTATAATAAAGAGCATCAGGATATTCTATGATTTCTTGAAATCTAGATATTAAACTGGCATTATCTTTCTCCGGTGAAAGTAACTTCATTAAAATGGGTTTTAATCGATGAAGTGGAAAATAATATCCCAAGTTGCCAGTTGGTTCCAATGGATTTTTACCTTCTTCAGCCATAAGCTTTATGGCAGTAGTAAGAGCTTGTAACTGAATGGCAGGCCGAAATTTTTCTATAGATGCAAGTATTTTCTCCCATACTTCTTCATAACAGTTTCTCAACCAGTTGATGTATCTTGCTTCAGGACTTGGCTCTGTTTCATAAATCTTATGGAAAAGCTATTTCATGTTTCTCAACATTTGTAAATCCAAAAAAAAAGAAATACTTTTTATTTGTACGCTTAAACTTTGTGTCCAAAAATGTCTTCTCACAAGGTATAAACGTGTATAAATTTATAATTTTCATCGGAAAATTCAAAAGTGTATAATGTCAAATACTGTCAAACAACAGAAAATATTAAACTACTCGAACATACCTGAAATTGTAAGGGATATCGTACGTTCCAAATACATGTCACCTCTTTTCAAAACTTCGACAAATATTGTTTCTATCGTAAGTAGACAGGACGAAGTGGATTCCTGATAGAGTGATCAGGAATTTTAATAAATGACATAACCTTAAAAAGTTGATATATTCATCAATTTGAAGTGTTTTTAGAACTTGTACTTACATCCCATTGAGAAATTATGTCTACTAAATTATTCGCGTGTTTTCTCGAATTCAAAAATTCCTGTGCTTTTTGTCTTAAAACTTTTGACGACATTTTTTGGCTGGAAGAAGCGCCGGGAAGATCTGCTGCGTCCGCCATCGTCGTATACGAATTCGGTAATGGCAGAAGATATCAAGAATACGTGAATGTATTCTTTTATATCCTTATTTCTGTTTAAAGTTACTTTATTCTGTTAATGTACAATATCTAAAAGTAAGAAACGTAAATTTTGTATTCTGATTTTATCAGTTGTGAGAAAGATCGATAAAGTATTGTCAATAGCATCACCGTATCAATTTCCTCGTTTAGTTAACGTTTTCAGTTTTGTAACACTGGTTATCGATACTTACAAACATCTATAATGAGTTAAAAGTTCGTTTATGAACAAGCAAAGTCAGAGTTTTTTCCTCCAACTATCGCATCAATAAAATTGAATTTTTAGCAACGTCGATATTAACAATAATACGCTGTAAGTAAATTATTATATTATTGTGTATGTTTAAATAGGAAGTAATGTATGCATATATATTTATATTACTTAAAAAAATACTTTACTATTAAAAAATACATTTTGTAAACTATTACATGACATGCGAGTGAATCATGTAAAGCTTAAAATAATATATTGTTAGTATTTCTTCTTACTAATATTTCCTAACCTGCAAAGTTGCTAGTATCTTATATATGATAACTAACCTTTTGCGATAGCAGTACGGAAATAATTCTCTTTCTGTAAATAACCATTTAATTAGTGCTTTTAAATAGATAAATTTTATATTTGAAGTTATATTCAAAATCTATCTTATACTTTTATTCAATGTAAAGATATCTATAGTCCTCATTACTATAAATGTCTGTTCATTAATACTAATACAATAATAATGATAACAGAAAATTTATTTATTGTCTATATTTACAAGTAATACATTTAAAAAAATCATTTGTTTTAATACATAGAAAATGTTAGAAATAACGTGCAATGATCGTCTTGGGAAAAAAGTTAGAGTTAAATGCAATCCAGATGATACAATAGGTGATTTAAAAAAATTAATAGCAGCCCAAACTGGAACTCATTGGGAAAAAATTGTTCTAAAAAAATGGTACAATATATTTAAGGATCACATAAAGTTACAAGATTGTATCCTTTCAAATTAAATATATTTTTGTACAAGATAATTTTTAACATTTCTGTACACTTTAAAAACACTTTTTTCTTAACATAACAATTTAGATGAAATTCATGATGGTATGAATTTAGAACTTTATTATCAATAATAAATAATTAATGTTAGATGTAATTAGATATAATTGTTATATTTAAGTGTTACATGATTTTGTATCTTACATGATGTTTAAGTATATAATGTATATAACAGCTACATAATAAACAAACATAAATAGAACAAAAACAACCTTAGTTTAAATTGTTACTGCTAATTAATGCTTACATTGAAAGAATTTACTATCTAATATTGCTATTTAATATCTACGTATTGCTACATTATTTTTACAAATTCAATCTTCAGAAATATATTTCTCCACGCATTATAAAATGTAATATTTTACATTCATACTTTATACCAAAGTTTTTACATAATTCAAGATTGTTATTTTTAAGTAGTTCTGAATTTCTACATTTATAAATAATACTAAAATAAAATAAAAACAGCTTACAGTGTATGCTTTAAAATTTTGTTATATCACTTTAAGTATATCACTAATTTAATGTAGAATGTCTACATTAAAAAAAATAATATTGAGAGTAAAATAAAAAGTAAGACAACACTTTTTTTTTTTCAATCTTTAAGCTTTAAAAATTAATGTGGCCTCTTGGACAATTTTTCTGCCTTGTTTATTGAATTTTCAGGTAGTTCTGTAACCCTACCTCTGTTGTTTAAGAAGTCTCTTATATGTTGCACTATCAAGTCTATTGCCACTGTAACAAAATTTAAAGTACAAATAAATAGTTAAAGGTTAATTTCTTTTATGATGGGGAACTTGATTTCTTTATTATTATTCTGTTTTACAATCTAAACAAATAATATATAAAATTACATAATTGAAATTATAGTTATCTTGTATAATAATGACAAATTTTTGTTAAGATTAAAACGATTTGAGCATTTAAAAAATAGAAATATCAAATAAAAGGATTAGCACCACACTGAATAATACAATTAAATATTGCAGTATATGAATAATGCACTGATGTAAATTAAAAATATCACATTTTACAGAATTATGCTAATACGTTTTGTGCTCGCTTAAATCGTCTTATATAAAATTTCAGTTTATATTACTACATTGATTCATAAAGCATTTGATTGATGGGGAAATAGCAATGTATAAAAAGTATTAATTTTTGGAGAACATGCAAGGTTGCATATACATACATACATACTTATAAAGGTTCTTATATGTAAATAATACTTAAGTCCTTTTAATATGGATCAATCTTATGTGTAAATTTCGATAATTATGCAATATTGGAATTACATTGTTTGGACAAGAGACTTTGTATAATCATGCACTATGTCCATGTTTTAGGAACAGTGTAAAATTAATTTTACCCAATTAAGGGTTTAATGGATGCACACATATTAGAAGCAATATTTTTTGCTACTTAGTATAAATGTAATACAAATACAGTTGTATAAGTATAGGAAAGACATATTATGCATTTAAAAAGAAAAGATTCAAGATTACTGCAAACTTGATTCTACACCAATGTATGATATATAAAAACATAGTGCTTATAAGTGTATCATGCTAAAATCATCTGCTGAGCGTGTCGGATGAAGTCAAAGTAGGCCTATGTTGGTAGATGTATGGATGCTGCCCGGATGAGATTTCAGCCTTTTTCAAACGCAAAATGTCCCAGATGTGATGCACTATAAGGTCTATTGCCACTGCAAACATACAATAACCAAACCATGTACGTTTTTATATGACCTTCATTTTGCACTAACTTAAAAGACAGCTTGTTTTAGCAGCCCTTACATACCAGGCAGCACCCATGAATGCTATATATATATACATATACGAATACAAAGAATAAAATTTTAAGCTGCCTTATTATTCCAAATCTGCACCTAAATTGCAATAAATACTATGATATTTTAGCAATATAAATAATAAAAAATTGATTTTAATATCAATATGAATGGAATTATCAATATTTTTTAATTATAATTAATTTTCATGTTTAATTAGGTGCAGACTTGATGCAAATGAATTCAGGTTATGATATAATGTAAATTAATGTTCATGAATAAGTTAATAATGTTTATTATAAATTTAATACCAAACAAATGCAGTATAAAAATTCTAATAAGTAATTTACATTTTTTAAATTAAATTGTTGCACACAATTTTTGTGTATTATAACAATACTATAATTTACCTGTATTGTCTGCACCTCTTGGTATGATAACATCAGCAAATTTTTTAGTAGGAAGACAGAATTCCTCAAAGGCAGGTTTCACAAAATTCATGTATTGATTTAATACATAATCTAAGTCCCTGCCTCTTTCATTTATGTCTCTTGGTACTGTAAAAATTAAAAATATTCATTTAGTAACTTCAATATGTATAAATGAAACAAAAAAAGGAACATGTATTTTATATTATTACCTCTTCTAGCTAATCTAGTGTCAGAATCAGTATCTACAAATAGCTTCATATGAAATAAATCTCGTATTTTTGGAAAATAAAACACCAAAATTCCCTCAAACAAAACTACATCTGCAGGATAGATTGTTGTAATTTGATCTTTTATTCTGAAACCCCTCAAAAAATGGTTAATGTAGCATTGTAATTTCTATGAAGTTATATTATTCTAAAATGCCAAGTACATACAAACTGTTGGTTCTATAATCATAGGCTGGTATTTCACATTTTACACCAGCTAGTATGTCTTGCAATGTTTGAAGTAACAAATCATTATCAAAAGCATCCGGATGATCAAAATTGTATTGACCTTTTTCGGCTTTAAGTTTTTCGGCCGGTGATAAATCTCGATAAAAACTGTCCTGTGAAATACAAACGACTTGCCGCTGCATGTGATCCATATCTACTTGTCCTAATTTTTCCATTATACGTTTGCATACAGTTGACTAAAAGAATGAAAAAGTTACTTTAATTAGATCTTCAATCACACAATTAATTAAAACCTTTATAATTCTTAAACTACACGTTTTTTACAGAGGTTAAATTGTGTACGGAAATATGTATTGTTTACAGAATGACAAAATTAAGACATTCTAAAGACATAAAGTAAAATATTACTTACTTTCCCACTAGCAGTACCACCTGAAACTCCTATTAGAAAAGGCGTTTTACTTTCTAAACCGTTCAATTTACCATTGATACCGAAAGACATCTTCCGTGGTGTGACAATATTCATTGACACATCTGCCATTGCCGAAAATTTACCAAGACCTTTCTGAATTGAATAAAAAATCAAGCACGAGAATAATTCCGACAAAATGGTATCACGATGGCGCAGTTGATACTAACAGTAAGAATGTCGATGGAAATGGAGGCAGACAACCTGGTATAAATCATTAGATCCAAACGCACGCGCGCACTCGCAGTGGTTAGATGCTTATATGCATACATATAAATGTATCTACAATTCCATTAAAAATGACGAAACAGTATTATATGCAATTTAGGTTACAAAGTATAATTCACCTTCTTGCATGTAATTCGTTTATTTTAAATTAAGTATAGGGATAAAAATGATAATGTTTCCATTTCATCACATTTTATTTCATATTACTATTGTTATACCGTTGAAATAAATTACAATTTAATTAAAAAATATATCCTTTTAAATGAGCTATAATGTTATCCAAAAATTTCTAGGATTTTGATTATTGTATATAATTTTATTCTAACAAGTTCAAAATGTTAAAATCCTATATATTCGAATCTTTTTAATTTTGTATTTATCAAGTAATGTAGATATTGAAACGAATTTTGAGAATAACATAACGTATATACATACGTAATATAGTCTTTATTAAAGGAATAATGTAATCAATTATTTAATGGATTGTTTACAAATATAGGCATAAAATAAAAATTACATTATTATTATAAAAAGAAACGTGAGCCTAACACCTAAATGATATTGTAAAGTATCGTATTTTATATTTATTTCGAATTGAAGAAAACTAATAATAATTATTCATGCAAGGAAAAAAATAACTTGACTATATTTTGTGTACTAAAATTAGAATTTGTACTTTTCATATGTTGAATAATTATTACATTGGTTTATCTTTTTTCTTCAGATCTGTTACTTTAATAATTAACATACGTCATTTAAGTATTGTATTGATTTTAACAGTGTATAATTTAATATATTTGAGGAATAAATTGTATTAGGTTGTGTAATATGAAATATCGGATTTAAATTTCACGGTTGTTTAGATTTTCCAACAGTAACTTAACAAGAATTGTATTAATGTTGAAGTTAACACAAAAAATGCAGAAGTTTTCTACACTCAACTAATCTTTTGAGCAATCAGTTTACAAATGATTAAAAATGCGACATTTCGTATCACCTGGTCTAATAATTATATTCAATTAATAGTTGTAACTATTCAAGGGACGAAGGTTAAATAACCTAACTTCATACTTACAGTTGAAAGTTTATTACTTTTGCTATTTTCCTTATCACTTTATAAATGATTACATAACAAATAATTTTAGATGTTTACTTCGTATAAAAAGATAGTGCAGAATATATTCAACAAGTCCTATATTTGCACACTAACAGGTTATGAGGTATTTTGTGTAATATTTATTTCATGTGTTTATTAGAAATAAATTTTTTTTTGGTTTTATAAGTAAGGTTTTATAATTATGGAACAAAAATTGAATGGTATTCTTTATTATGGTAATTCATATGAGGTACAATATAGTGTATGATTTACATTAAATGATTTAAATAAGAATTACAAATTAGTAAGTTTATTAGTATTGTCTATTTTATAGGCTACTATAAAAGTTTTGCATAATTTACAAAGTAATGTTGAATATTTAAAATTAACAACAAAAAATAATTTGCAAAGAAGTGACTCTCATAAACTTTCTGATGTAAACAAATACTTATTCAGGTAATAATTTTCTTTTTAAGTTAAATCGATTAAATAGTATATATTTTAAATATTTTAATACTAATATGACTTTTACAGATCTGGTATTACATTAGAAATGTTAAATACTTTATCAGTTATACATGTGGCAGGTACTAAAGGAAAAGGTTCTGCTTGTGCATATACAGAAGCCATTTTACGTGAACATGGTTTTAGAACAGGATTTTTTAGTTCTCCACATTTGGTTTCTACAAGAGAACGTATAAGAATAAATGGGCAACCAGTAGATAAAGTACATTTCATTCAATATTTTTGGAAAATATATAAGAAATTAGAGGATACAAAAGAACATGAATTTGATATGCCTGGATATTTTAATTTTTTGACAATTCTCATGTTTGATATTTTTTTAAATGAAGATATTGATGTTGCTATAATTGAAACTGGAATTGGAGGATTATATGATTGTACAAATCTTGTAAGAAATCCTGTATGTGTAGGTATAACTAGTTTAGCATTAGAGCATACTTCTTTATTAGGTAATACTCTTGAAGATATAGCTTATCAGAAATCTGGTATTTTTAAACCACAAACTGTAGCATTTTCTGTTCCACAATTACCAGAAGCAATGCAGGTATTACATAAAAGATCAATTGAAGAAAATTGTACATTATATGTTGTTCCTCCTTTTCATGAATATATGTGGGAAAATGTTTCACCTATTTTAAAAGTAGCAAATAAAATTCAGCAACAAAATGCTTCTTTAGCTATTCAGATGGCTATTACATGGATAAAATTTAAAAGAGAGAAACATTCAACTGTTTCAGAATCTGCTGAAATAAATGTATCTATGGATAAGATTGCAATAGGTTTGTCTTCATGTAAATGGCCAGGTCGAATGCAAATTTTAAGAAGTAGTGTTGCTGACTTTTTTTTAGACGGTGCGCATACAACTGAAAGCATTGAAAGTGGTATTTCTTGGTTTAGTGAAGTAAGTAATAAGAGAGGAAAAAGATTATTAATTTTTAATACATCTGGTACCCGAGATTCAACAAGATTGTTATCACCTTTAAAGTCTTTATGTTTCTATAAAGCATACTTTGTGCCAAATTACGCGGGAGTTAAAACCATAGATGATCAAACGAATTGTGCGTCAATAAATGAAGAAAAGAAAAAATGTGAAATTAATTCTAAAATATGGGGAACGAATTCAATAGTTGCAAATAGTGTTTTTGAAGTTTTACAAGACATAAAAAACAATGCAAAGCAACGAAGTAATTCTAATAACGTAGAAAAATATCAAGTATTTGTTACAGGATCGTTATATTTGATAGGTGCAGTTCTTGCCATTTTAGATCCAAACTTGACGATGACTACGAAATTTTAACAGGTATTGTTAAAAACTAGGTTTATACAGAATATTTACGAAATATACAGAAACATGTGTTTATAAACGGTAGAATTATATATTTAGCAACTATAATAACAATTCATAACAATACACTAATGAGATATTGCATTGATATCTTGATGATAGTCGCAAAGTACTCATTGATACTTTTTCTTAACAGTTTTTTTGTACTTTAGTATAAATATATTTTTCATAAAACTATACGTAATTGTAAAGTTATAATAATTTGTACACATGACAAATGAGTGTTATATACGTTCGCGTATCGTATCGTATCGTACAACACAGAAAAAACGTGATGTTAAAATAAGAATTGGAAAAAATGCTTAAAATATTTTAGTATGGTAATCTAATTCTGATTCTGCTTCCGTATCAGATAAACTTAAGGAAACACCAGTTCTCCGTCGTAGACGATTTTCATCAGGACTCTGAAATATACAAAAATATTTTTGATTCCATATGTATCATTGTGCTGTTAAATAATTTCTAATCAAATATTTTAAAAAATCATTGTGTTGTATCTATTGTTTGGACAAAATTGAGATAAATACCTGATCTAGAATGCCGGCAGTGGGTTCAGAGGCATAACCTACTTCTTGTGCATCTTCTTCTAAGTCTGCCTCATATTCCTCTAATTCATCTGTATCGGAATCAATGTCCAGATCTACATATCGATTTCCTCTGGAGACTTTACACACCATTTGAGCTAAGTCTGTAAAAGTATATGAAGATACAGATTGTTGATTCGCCGCTTGATGTTTTGCTCGTAATGCTCGGGCATTTTCTCTATCAGCATTAAAACGTGGTAGAACTCCAGCTTTCAACTGTCCTTCGAAATAAGTTTTTCCTAAAGAAATATTAACTTTATATAACTACATATATATACACATAAAATTCTTTTTTTTTTTTAATAGATATAATATTTACCATGTTGATATCCTACATCCTTAATTTCATCAAAATTAGCAAACTGCAGGGTTTTATATTTATCTATAGGTGGCCTAATATATTCACAGTAATCTGAGTTTTTAACTTCCTCCAATTGCCGTACGCAACTCACGTATGCTAATCTCGATTGTATGTCGGGTAAATTCGGAACTTTAACAGGCGTCGCGAAAGGATTCCATCGTTTCCATAATAACCACCAACCAGATAAAGAATCTCCATAATTTGTTAAATCCGTGTCATCTTGTGATCCAACGTCAATGGCCAAGATGTGATGTGCTCCTTGCCTCAACATTTCGTCAGCTTGAACAAAGAGATTATAAAGCCCTATGTTGAAAATTGTTTATGACAAGTAAATTATTATCTCTATGATAAGATAAACAATACAGGTTTAAGATACCTGGTACGTTATTAACATAACACCCATCGACCAAAAGATGCCCGTCAAGAGGGTCGCAAATAGGAGGAAAGACCCCCGCAATGGTCATACTGGCTCGAATGTATCTCCATAGTAAACCTGAGTTGACTTAGCTATTCAGAATTTGACAAATGCATCTTTTATCAACGGGAGTGAGCTTTATATAATTTTTAAGTTAACATTATGCTTTTGCCGAATTATAATGAAGGAAATAAGCACAATTTATTCATTAATATAAAGTTATTTGTAAATGTCCAGGTAATTTTATATAATTAAAAAAGAAAAATTATAAATGTTCTCCTCCAAGAGCGTTTGTGCGTTTAACTCAAAATGTTTTTTCTTTAGTATATATGTTTATAATATATTTTAGCAACGTTAGACGCACTCTTTTAATACGACGCTCAAATTACCTGGAAGGTTATTGACGTACCCGCCGTCGAGCAGGAGATGGCCGTCAACTGGGTCACACATGGGTGGCATATAACCAGACAAAGACATCGAAGCCCGAATGTACCGCCACAGCGATCCTAAACACCACGAATTAAATTCTTTAATGTATGTTCGTACATTTTTCTATACTTCTTATATTCCTTCATAAGGTGTATGATATATTCTAGAGCAAGTATCGGTCGCTTCAGAACTCTTTGTTATCGCAATTCAATTAAAACATACAAGAAGATTATTCTTCATATACCTGTTACCCGTACAAAAAATAATGTTCGACGTTTGCCAATAAACGATATAAAACGGAGAGTACGTCATTACAGTAATCACCTAGAAAGCTCACTCCCGCTGTTCAAGCTTATTTCTACACAATGCTCTCTCTATGATAATGATCGTTTAAATTTAAAAAAACAAAATTTTGGGTTAGAAGCGTATCTACAGGTTCTACAAATTTCACCAAAACAGCGAGAGAGTTTCCAGTTAGTTAAGTCTAATGATTTATATTTATGCATCACATATACTTTATCAAAAAGAACTGGAAACTATCAGTGCTTTAATAAATATTATAATTGTTTCTTTTGTATACCGACCGTGCGTGTGCGTACGCATACAAGAATCAGTGATGTCAGTAGTTATTGTAAAGTATGGTAACCATAAGTCTTCTATGTATGTGTCTCCAAATGTTGCTTGGATTGTGTTGTTAAAATCTTTTCCAGAAAACATAGATGTTACTGGATATGTTAAATCCATTATTTGTCTCCACCACTGTGTCATTTTCTGTTAGAAACATATTTATCCATATAACCAAAAGATACTGATAATGAAGTTTGAATTATACATATTTTAAATCGTGATTTTGCTCATTAATTTTACAGTGTTTACCTTAGACCATTCACGAGCTTTCTGCGTTGTTGTTGTTATATTTTTTTCCATACACCATAGTGCACCCATAAATGCTCCAATACTAACTCCACCAACCATGTCTATGGGTATACCAGCTTCAATAACTGCTTTAAGCATTCCTACGTGAGCTGCACCTCTAGCACCTCCACCTCCAAGCACTAATCCAACTGAAGTTCCGGTTAACCAACGAGCAAGTCTACTAAAATCGCTATGTACGTTTGGTTCAGACATCAAAACTTTGGAATACAATTCATTCTAAAAAAGGTCAATAAATTATTTGTGTATCTTGTGTAATGGAAGTAATAATTTAAATTTTTTATAACTTACAATTCTATATTGAGATCTTCTCGTAAACATTCGTTTAGGACACTGAATGTGATGATGACTAGAAACCCAAGATCTCATATTTAACCACTGCACCGTATTTGTAGGACGTTGCCCACTTTGTTCTTTGTGCAAAAGTACTAATTCTTTTTGTGTTCTCATTACTAAACGCTCGACTTCGCGTTCAGTTCTACCTATAGAAGGAGGTTTATCTCCTAAACCCACAATAAGAATACAATCAGCTTGTCTGACACATCGTTGAGTCCATAATGTGTACGTTGGGTCACATTGATACAAAGAGATTCGGTGTTGATCCTCTTGTTGCGCAAGCCACGATGTTAAACGGTATTCATTTGCAGGTTCCATTATGGTGCTACCTAATGTCTATTGATTAAATAATTATGAGTAATGGAAGTAAAGAAATAAAGAAACTCTGCCGACACTAATTGCTTACTTTTCGGACAACATCAGAAGTGAGACGTAAGCATGGCCCAATAGCACACAACGAATGATAAAGTTCGTACGTAAATGCAGTTAATGGTACATCGTCGGATACTGGGACTATTGCAACAGTTGAGAAGTTTACTTGGGCTGGTCTTGCATCGACTGTTGCTGCAGCCCGTCTATAAATATATTCGGATAAAGTAATTTCAATCAATGAATAAAGTTATCATAATATTTCAGATACATACTGTGTATCGCTACTGCCATTCTTCGTGTGTGCTTGTTGCCAAGTTCCAAGTATGCGATGTCCAAGTAAATTTATGAGCCTTGTAACTACTATTGGGTAACGAAGTTTTATAACATTAAATAATCCTTCCGGAAGTTTTGCTAGCTCTGAGTCTCGTACTGCCATTACAGTTGTTGATCGTGGAGTTTGTGTGACCATTTCTACAATACCTACAAGGTCACCTTTTCCGTATTCCGCAACGAGCTCTTTTTTCCCATTTTTATACGTAATTACTGACCGAAGTCGGCCACTTAATACGATAAATGTTGAATCTGATTCATCTCCCTGTCGATACACTGCTCTTCCACTTTCAAGAAATAGCCAATCAAGAGCAAAATCAACCTTTTAACAGATATAAAATGAATGATTTATACTAAACTGGCAAGTAAAATAAACAATGCAATTATTTATACCTGTCTAACAAAAGGACTAAGTCTCCGAACAACTGAGTGTGCAACATGTAACACAACAGTAGGTTGTTCTCGCATAATAGCGAAAAATGTTGGTTTACTAAGAAGTGCTATGCGACTAGTGTGTTTTGCTCTAATGGTATAAAAAGAAGGTTCTCCAGTTAATACAGCAAGACCGCCCACAATTTCACCTTGATGAGCACTAAACATATGAACTTCTTGACCTTGATCTCTGCCTTCCGAAACGCGTTGACTAACTATTAATGAACCAGATACAACATAGACAAGTGCAACATCCTGAAATACAGAAATGCAAAATTTGACAAAAGTATAAAAAAGCTTTTGCAACTACAGGAATGTTTAAAACAGGTTTAACCTTATGAGATTCTTCCTTCATCAAGTAAGTTCCAGCTGATACTTCTCGAATTTGAACTTTACCATCTTTAAGTATTGAATCATCTTCTAAACCAAGTTCTCTGACAAATGCTTCTGTAGCTATTTGTACAAGATGTGCTTCATCCAGCTGTTGTTGAACTGGTTCAGTGGTAGTAGATCGTTTCTTATGTGGATGAGAATTTTCGGTATGTATTGCGTCTGATTGTGGTCCATGCTGTGATCCTTGAAATGATCGTTGCGGTGTTATAGGTGAAGAATTTGGCCAATGAGAATCACATTCCGGTACCATATCGGCTGAATTCTGACCTGATTGTGGACTTAAATTTTGATTTTTCCAATCAAGATTAGTTTTTTGCCTATTATGAAACAAATATTAATCAAACCGTATTTTCAGTTTTGAATCATTTCTTTTTAAACTTACCGTCGACTTATAACAATAGGTACACTTTGGTGACCACTGAATGCAGAGGTGTCACGATGAGACATATCACATCCTTCATGTTGTTCTGATGAAGCAGTTACATTGCATTGATTTTCTGTGTTTTGGGTAGAAAAATTTTCTTTAGTTCTTGATCTAATTGGAGACCCAGAAAATGGACTTTGTTTCTTTTTATGTGGTCCTGGATTAACTAATTCTGCAGATAGTCCAAGATACTGATGTAAAGCAGTGAAAGTGACTCTTTGAAGACGAACCATAATGACCTGGATAACTCGAACAAATGCATCAGGGTAATCTTGAAAAACCTACAAAGATATAAATATAATATTAAAAATCTTAATTTTTATTTTATTTTTATTCACAGTACATAATTAAATTGTACCTCTTGAAATGCATTCATTGGTAACTTAACTACAATGGAATCCTCCATAGTTCTGGCAGATACTGTTTTATAGGTACTTGTATGCCCAGTAAGTACATCTGTGAAACTAAGAAGACTAGTTACTGATTCTCCTGTTTTTACTAGTTTTAATGATATTTGGGAGCCATCAGGTCCTGTGATATAAACATTAACCAAGCCTTGTTGTACAATAAATAAATTTTCATCTGGGTCTCCAATTTTAAATAAGGTGCTTCCAGCTGGTAAGTTCATAATTTCTGTATGCTTGCATAGTTTCAAAAATACAGGTTTTTCAAAATGACCAAATACTCTAATACTTTGTAACATGTACAAAGCATCAGGTGGTACTTTGTCTCCAGGACCTAGGTCTTCTTCTAGATATTCAGCAGGTGGTTCTAAAACCTATTGAGATTTCAAAATACAGTAAAAAAACAGGATAAAATAGAAATGAAGATAGTAGAATTAAAATTGAAATACTTTTAATTGTTGTGGCACTGTTTCTTTTTTAAGTTGCAAAAGTCTCCGTGCAAATCGCATTACAGCCTTTCTTTTCTTTCCTTGCCCACTTGCATGTACTTGTCCACTGATGGACTTTACTTTGCGTAACATTTTTCTTCCATAAAAAAGCACCTTGTCTCTTTTTCTGAATCTGGGTTTGCCTGTACCTACTCCAACAAACTCCTTCACTTCTGGGAGAAATTCTTTGTTCTTCCATTTTCGCAGAATGATTATAGAAGCAATCAATAAAACCACCAGAATTGATATTATGATTATGAACAGGGTCTTTGATATTTGATATTCTGCAATTAGTTTGCCAATCCATTTTGAAAAAACATAAGATCCTAAGCTTTCATTATATATATTGAATAATTCCACCACCTATAAACAATAACAATAATTCGTGTAATAATAATAATAATTAATTTCATTTAATAATATTGGTGGTATTTCATTCTACTATTATGAAAACATATTTATACAAATTTGATTTAGTATATCAATAATTAGACATAATATAAAAAGTGTATGTGTGATATATAACAAATACAACCTCCATAGTGGGTATTCATTTCTTCCATCAGATTGTAGTAAAATTTTAAACGAAGGGGCGTCACGAACTTATAAATAAAGAACGAGCAAAATACGAGGTAAACAAATTGAAACAATGTAATTGCCGTGATACAAAAAATTACTTATCTACACTGAACTAACGACCTTTGATACTTCGCTCGAGTCACCCAGCGCCATTTTAGTCGTACTTACAAGCTTGCAACTTACAAATCAATTGCTTCGCTTTTACGTATTTTACGCAATCACTTCTAAATATTCTAAAAGTGAAAACTGTTATAAACATTTGTTATTTTACCTGTTTCATCAAATGCGAAGCGTACCAAATTAAAATATCTAAGTTATAATTTCATATAATTGCGTTTTTTATTGAATAAAAATTATAAATTAAATTAAAGTGTAAAAGAATAATAAACACGTAATTCCTAAAATACCAAGTGAATTATTTATTGAAATACAGCGAATAAAATTGTGAAATATTTCAGAAAATTTGATCTTGTTATTAAAACCGCAAGCATTGCACGAAGTTTTTTATTCTTTCGGAAACAAATACATTCATGTTTTTAATCGTTAATCCAGCTTTCAACAAACGTCGATCAACGTTACTTATTATTGTTGTTTTGCGTTTATCGCAGGTAGAATTCGAAATGTACGCGCCAACATTTTCATTCGTTCGGCCAATTACAGAGCGTTTTCCCCCTTGATATCTACTTATATTTGAAAAACCACGATAGAGTGCGCTACGGCAGAATTCCGGGCGGTTTTGATGGACAGTTGAGTCCGGCCAGTCAGTGGTTACGGGCCGACATGTTGGAGATGTTTCAGTGATCGTGTGCGGTGGGTCTGACGCGTGATTTTTCATGCGTTTTTAGTGCGTGTTCGATATACATATATATAAGAGGTGTATTTTGATCGCGTCGCTACATGTGAAGTGTCGGGTGAGCAAGCCTGCTTGTGCCTGGTTTACCCGGCCCAGCAAACATGAGCTGGGGTACAGAGCTGTGGGTAAGTCTACTTGTTCGCTCCGTTTCTTTCTCTACCTATCTGTCTCTCTATCTTTCTCTTTCGTTCGCGTATACACGCGTATACTGCACACAGTGGATAGTTTACACGTTGTACGGCATTGGATGCTGACCCGTTGTTTTCGCCAACGCGTAACAGCGATATCCCCCAAAACCAGTTCACGGTGGCAAACCACTCACGGGAGTTTTGCCTTTGCGGTTGCTAGCCGCGGGCGACGTTCTTCTCTCCTTTGGTATATCCCCTCCTTTCCCACCATACCCAACCCGGGTGTACGTGTACTCATCGCTGTGCTCCTTCGCTTCCTTTCTCATGAAATCTTCGATGAATACCGGTGCGACGGTATGACACTAACTTGTCATTTTACTGCGACATGAATTTCATTCGCATACTCCAATGTGTACAGAAATTCTACGTCAGTCAAAATTTTCTTTTTCTTTTCTTCGTATAAAAATATTTCTAGCGTGATTTAGTCGGATATACGAGTTAGCAAATTTTATGCTAGACGTTCTGGTGTCAGAGTTTGCACTCTCAAGAATAATAATATAGTGGTATATGTGCGTGAACTTGTATGTTTGCGTGATTCTAGCAGGTGTACCCGTTATTGTCAGAAATTTCTTATTGCGGTGATTTTTCTGGATTTATTTAGCAGTACATCATACCGAGTTATACCAGTTTAACCGCTTCAAGATTTTTTCTTGGAAATAATCCTTCTGTACCGTCGGTGTGGTTTTACGTATTCGCTAGTTTTTCTCCTATGTTTCACAAAAGAATTCACGCGCATCTACGTTTGTATGCATAGGATTGAGAATCGTTCCACTCAGGTTCGTCATCTTCCTTACTTTCTGTTCTCTATAAATAATTCATTCGCGCATTCCAAGTCGTCGTTTTTTCCCCTTGTAATCTGTCTCTCTCTCTCTCCCTCCCCCCTCTCTGGCGTTCGTACAGGTTCAGAGATCGATGAATTTCTCGTGTTCGATCCTCGGAAAACGGTGAGTGAAAAGAGTCGACATGTGTTGCTTCGACTTTGTTGGTCGCGTTAATGACGTTTCAGGATAACGAGAGCCATTACTCGAGGGACTGAGTCCTGTACATATTTTTTCACCCTTCGAAAAATTATGTAGTATTTGAAAGCTATGAAAATGTCGACGCGTGCGCAGGGTAACGGTTGCTTTAGTTTTACAATGTTGCCGTTCAGGGCCAGAAATACGGGACGCTACAATTACTTGATTTAATAACCTCACTTTCGAGGGTCGTTATAACCTGCAAGGTTATGGCGATACTCCGTTTGGATATATAATTTATCGAGATTAGGTCAACCCGTGGACGTCTCGATAGGAAAGCGTATTCGATTCTATCTGTCATCGTGTATTACGATTCATTGACGTTTGACTCGTATTCCCTCGTGAATCATGATACAGGACGCGTTCGTGTTTAACCGCTAACGGCCGCTCGTGAGCATATGTACACGTACGACACGGGCGTGCCTCGCCATGCTCTTGACAGAGAAAGGAAGAACACGAGAGTGGAGCTTTGAAAAATTTCCATCTAAAACGTTGCTTATAGGTGTACAAATGTGCCTATTACTCTTTTGTTTTCTTCTAAACAATAATTAGAATTTCGCGATTAACGTAAAATTCGAATTTAACGATTAAATCTTTGGTCTTCGAGTGCTAGCGTAGAGTGTAAAATTTTATTGGTTATGTTGTTTTTACTGTGAGTCAGAATTAGCGAAACAATCGATCAATCGATAGAGTACATTTGAAATGCTGTTGGTGTATTCCATATGTAGAATTTTTTAAATGCGGTTGTTTCTACGTTGTACACAAGACGATACGTTTCTTCCGCGTTGTTGATTTAACGATAATACATTATCGTTTGACAAACTTGTCGATCAATGACAGTTCCTCCACTGGTGTTCGTAGAATCAAATATTTATTCCAGTTTTAAGGGCGAGTCCTTGTTTTTACGTTCGTGTCGAGTATGACTAATTGGTGTAATCATTTTCCACGTGTGTATACTTTTGTGCGCCTGCGTATGCGCGCGCGCGCGCGTGTGTGTGTGTGCGTCTTTTTTCCGATCGCGTTCACGTCAAAGAGCAAGCAGTGCTATTTCTTATCGTTTCGTACGAGAATACAATTAACGTAATCGCATAATGTCGATTTATTGCATATTTCAAGTGCGATACAGTTTTGCGTATCGTGTTCGTGCCTCTGCATAAAACGATTCCCTGGACAATGAATTTTCAAGAAGCACTTCAGAAAAGTAGAACAACGATCTTGATTTTAGAATAAGCTTAGAGATCTCTTCGTTAATTCAACTAATTATATTGGTTACTTCGCAATAAATTTAATACACGGTTTCTATCTTTCCGTTGAGGAATATCGGATCGAATCGAAGTAATCAAAGTAATACACCATGTTGGAATGCCTTTATCGTGCATATTTATTTGTCCAGCAGGTAGGTACCTATACTACGACTTGGTAGAGTTTGTTTTGCAAGTCACAAGTAGTACAGTGTCTCTCAATCGCCGTGCACTTTCTGTCTTATGTCAATGAACACTTTATCGTACCAATATTTTCAGAGCTGTTTTTTTTTATTTTCCCATCGCACGAACGTTCAAAGTTCATCTCTCACGCGCAAGGTCCTCTAATTGTTTTCAGGTTTCGTTACAAGATGGAAAAGAAGAACCTGCTTTTCTCATCAGACAGCGAGATAATTTCAAAGAGATACCGTGTACCTTGAAAATTGTGTACAAGTATTAACGCGTTCGCATTCACTCATATGTGACTCGATGTAATTTCAATCCATGCTTCTCTTTTCTTTTTATTTCTAAATTTTTGTCATTCAAATATGAGAAATGTTGGTAAAACGTGGAACAGATTTTTCTTAAAAATACAACAGATTTACCAGTCGCTTTTTCCTACCCTCACCTACGCAACTTCTCCGCATTGAGATCGCGGAAAATGGAAGTAAAGCAACGTGGGCGGGAAAAGCGCGAAGGTTACGAGCGTCGGAGTCACTTTCTCCGTCACGACGAAATCAGCAATTGCTTTCCAGTACGTGTACAGGAGGAGGCCACCATCTCCTTTGCACTTTGAATAACAATCTCTCCAACGGAATGACGTAAGAAAATCGCGGCCAAATTCCTATTTCACGATCGATTTTTATCTTCGATTCTCGATCATTGAAGATTTTCAGAAAAAGAAAGAAAAATCATATATCCTATTACATATTTCTTCGAAGGATAGTTTATTCACTATTTTCAAGCTATTTTTCTCTATCGGAGAAACTCTCTTTGTCGTCGATTCGATTTCGTTCGATTACCACCAGTTCGATGACGTAAGCTCGGGCAAAGTGTTTTCATGTGTTTTCTTGTCAGCGAGCTTGTATTCGCTGAGTAATATACAGGTAAGGAAGAGAACGAAATCTCGTTTGGCGGTGACACCACCATCGGGGCACAGTCATCGATTTCGAGGAAACGAAAGCGATTTTATATCCGGCGTTCCCAATTCACACTCGCGAAGAACCGACTTTTTCCACGAGCTACACCGTATCTCTTTTGCGGAGAAACCGCCGCGCCGCGTCGCGTCGTTGTTTCCTTTCCTTCGATTGTCATCGAATGACGTTCGTTTTGCAAGGTGTGCTGGCTCCGATGAGTCGTTTCCGCTGTGTAATAGGCAAATAAAACAAGCTATTCGTTCCTTCTTTTCCTTTTTTTTTTTTTTTCTTAATAAAGCCACTAATCAAATTCTCGCTGTTTTCGCGTAACGAAATATCAACTTAACCCTTTGCCTTGTAACAACGAGCCCGGCGACTCGATAGCATATCTGTAAGAAAAATTCATTTCAATTCTAACCTCCGTCACAATTTATCAGACCGAGGGGAATACCCGGTGCAATTGACCTGTAATACATTAAGCGTTTCTTAATTAATACAGCAGTAAAATAGTAAGTAACCGACGCTTAATTGCATGGACGGGGAAAAAAATGAATCACAAGTCAAGGGGGTTAATCGTTCGCTTCTATTTTCGTCTCGATATATATCGAACTATTGTAATTCTAACCTTATCACAGAACGTTACAACAATATTCAACTCGAGAAAAAAAGTTTCGTTCGAGAGGACTCCTTCTCAGGTATAAAGATTCGAAATCGTCTAGAGAATTGGAAACGTAAACACACGAGTAGTAAGAAGTTCGTATGCTAACCGATGATTTCACGTTTCGACATTCCTCTCTCGTGTCTCAGAGTGAGGTTAGGTAGCGTTTCACCGTTCCAAGCTTTTGATGTGCCTAAAAAGGGTACGAACGATAGCAGGTCGAGAGTGTACATATTCGTTATTGAGAATCGATATCGACGAGATCCGAGTGTTACACACACACACACACACACACATGGTTTAAAGGAAAAGCCATGGGAAACGGGGTCGAAATTTCGCGAGCGTTCAACAAGCGCAAAAAACTTTACAGACAATTTGTGTCGGGCAGCGGACAAATTGAGCGTAAACCGTTTAACAACGCGGAACGAAAAACTTGGCCGATTAAATTTCACACTTATTCCTCGACTGAACCGTGTGGCCAACCGTTCGATCCCTATCGAACGATCCACTCCTACCGATCGATCCAATTTTCCAGCGGAGTACACTTGTCGGATAATTGTGAAACAGCAGCTGGGAATAGATGAATCGTAGTGAAAGAAGAAATGATTTTACAATAAAGCATAATGTAACAAGGTAGAAAGTTCTCAATGAAAATTAACTCATAAATATGAACGGGGGAATGAGCAAGAATACGCGGCATAGTGAAAGCCACGGGATTTATCGAAATGGGAGTGATTCAGTTGAAATAGGCGGCTCGTAATCGTTTGTTTGTAGTGTAATTAAGGGAAGGGGGGGTTATACAAAATTTCTGGGTATATACAAACACAGGGAATCTGTTTAATATCGTTCTTATCGGGACTTACCCTTATCTCATTACCTGTCTTGC